TGAGACTGGAAACTAAAACTACATACACTGCAGGCATTTTCATACAGCCACCCCAAATGACATCTGGCCAACTGAGCTGGTTTTAGGGCCCAGGCCATACCAAGTTCAGAATGAAGAACTAATCTGGGCTGGGACTGTAGCTCAGTGGCAGAGTGCTTGCCTAGCATGCATGAGGCCCTGGGTTCGATTCACACCTTTGCGAAAGGAAAAACAAATGGAAGGATAACAGCAGATGCAAACACTCGGTGCTCAATAAAGATTAGTACTCAATTCCCTTTCCAACATTTCCCTGCATTTCTAACCTCAACTCCATGTAGTGAGGTTTTTTGAAACTCTAAATTGACTGATACTATTTCCCATTTCCTCAAAGGGGACAGGCCAAGGGACATGGGGTGACAAAGATTTATTTACCCATGGCTTCCATAACTATTCCTCTCAATGTTCAACTATTCTCTTTTAGGTCATTCATTATTCTTTGTCATGCTTCCTATGTTTCCTTAGAGCTTCCACTAGGCTTTAGTGTACCTTGATGAAAAGTAGAAAAAGACTCCACAGCTGAGCATGGTTGCCTGTGTCTATAATCTCAACACTTGGGAAGCAGAAGCAGGAAGATGGAGAGTTCTGGGCCAGTCTAGGATAACAGAACAAGATAGGGACATAACAAGTCCCTATCTCAAAAGAAGAAAAAAGAAAGGAAGGAAGGAAAGAAAGGCAAGCCTTTTCCCCAACTAGCACCTTCTCTGGTCTGACAAATTTGAAAGACACCCACTTGGGACTGGAGCCCCACTTGCCCCTGCCATGGGCTCCTTGATGCAACACACAGAATCCATAACCACCACAGCAGCCTATGGCCCCCAGCAATCCCCATGGCAGAAGCCAATCAGATGAGAAAGGCAGCTTCATGGAGAGCCAGCAGCCTGCTAGGGAAGACAGAGCCCACGGCTATCTCCCTAGCAGTTCTGGGGCTGAGGAGGGTGCCCAGACTAACTCTCCTGCCCTTCTCCATAGCAACCATCAGACATCTGGTTCTGCCATATTTGGCCAGGAAGTAATGGTTCCTTCTTTACTCCCCCCACAATAGCCCCCAAAAAACTTTCCACAGACCTTTGGAACCTTTCACGTAAATCTCAGTGTAAGTGTGAGGTCGTGGGTCTAAAACCACCAGGCAGTGACTCAAGTCTTCTAAAGGGACAATTTGCCTCAACAACTGCTGAGTTTACTTTTGGTGAGGTCCAGTGGCTTTGCCTGTGGGATATATGAAACTCCTGACATAACCCAGCAACCCCAGCAAACTCTCAGAAGCCAATTATCAATGAACTCCATTGTAATGTAAGGAAAAACCACTACCCTTGCTGTTTACCCTTGACACTGAAATAGTAAATGATACTGTGGGAACACTGGAGCACATCCTGACCAGACCACCAGCAAAAGGCATGATGGCCTCTTCTGAAACTCCTCTGCCCTCTAAGATTGGAGTCTGGGGAGGATGCATTCGGAAATGATTTTTTTTTCCCAGTAATGACAACGCTCACTACCACGTAAGAAATGAAATTGAAGCATTGATCTTATTCTTCAAATATAAGATAGCTTCAATATTAAAATTAACATATAAATTTAGCATCCATCTTATTTTCGACTTGCTTCTGCTGAGTAAATGCTCATATAAAGAATGAATCACTGAAACAGTATGCAGTGAAATCAAGTTCATTTTTCAAATATGTCAGCTTGAATGCAGTCAGAGCCTGTTTTCTGGGCACCCAACAAATGTTCCCAACATTCCCCCCTCCCGTTGCCTTTGGCCTGATCTATCCATGGGGCAAGCTGGGAACCTTGGGAGTGAGTCCCCAAAGAGCAAATCCTGTAATATCTGACTGCTACTCTTCACCTTCCTTAGACCTATTTCTTTTCATATATTTTATGTTCTTTGGCTCTTAAAAGCCTGCCGATTAACTTAACAGCCTGGACCAGCGTTCCAAAATCACTGCCCCGTTCCTTGGTACCTGTTACTTGCCTAGTCACTCTCCTATTTTCTACCTCAGTCATTTACCCGACTAACACATGCCTTGCTTCTGGATTCATCTATGAAACTACTTCCCCCCCCTGCCCCCGCCACCATCACCACCATAAAGAGTATTGATATTCCTTAAATCTCAGAGCTCCTGGGCAAAACTCATTCTCAGATGTCAGTAACAAACTGGGAATCATAGAACAGGTAGAAGGTCCGGCAGCACCAAAAATCCCAGCCCTTCCCTTGAGGTAGAGGTTGCATATCTGTGCTATCTCTGGTCCTTTACCAACCAGAAATTTCCAGAAACAGGCATTTCTGTTCCCAAATGTGTACTCAACCTAATAACTGACCCCGATGCCAAAGTCAGAGGCACTAGATGTAGGGTATGTGCTAAGATTGCTTACATGGTGAAATTTACCTTGCCATATAAAAGTAGGTAGGAGTATAGGGATGATTTAGAAATTCCAGCATTAGTTTCTATCCCTCAGTTCTTTTGCTTGGCATAGATCTGAGAAGCAAACCAGACACATGATAAAGAGGGAGTCATTCTCTAATGACCTTGTTTACAAATTATCTGACGAGAATTATAAAAAGCTACCAGGAATTCTGACTGCAGAAGTGGGGCCCAGGAATCTGCACTAGAACGTTAGCATCTGGACTCCTGACCCACTCATAGCCAGAATGATCTAGAACATAACTAGCTCACCCCATGCTCATAGCATTTTAGATAATCAAAATAGGTAACTGCTGGGTGCCTGTAGCTCATGCCTGTAATCCTGGCTACCCAGGAGGCAGCGATCAGGAGGATCTCGTTCAAAGCCAATCCCAGGCAAATCATTCTCGAGACCCTATCTTGAAAAACCCTTCACAAAAAAAAGGTTGGTGGAGAGGCTCATCGTGTAGGCCCTGAGTTCAAGCCCCAGCACTGAAAACAAAAATTAACTAAGACTAGTAGTTAGCACTTCCTTATAAAAGGGAAGTACTGTAGTTTAATGTGAATTCACTTCTGTGAGACTGGACTGACTCCCAGGTCAAACACGAATCCATGAAAATTGGAAGCATACAGCCAAGCACCTGGAAGTTTTGTCTGTGTGGCAGCTGTCATTTAACTTGGAGTTGGGAGATTTTGTTCCCTGTGCATCCAGGTGTTCGGTTCCATGTGAGGAAGTAACAGAGTGCCTGCAGGCAGATGAGTATTCACTTCCCTTGACTTCTACAGGCTGTGGCAGGATGTCTTTGAGAGCTGTTAGAATCTAAGAGTTTGGGCCACAGAAAAACCAGAGAGAGATCAGCCATCAGGCCTACAGAGGTACCAAACCTGGGGTGCTGGTGGCAGGACGTAGAATCTGAGCACCTGATTTCTTACTTCAGACCCCTGATCCCTCTGATCCCACCAAAGTGAATCTTTCTTCAGAAGATGATATTTAAGAGCAAGCACACCTGCACTACCTCTAGCTCACAAGTAGACTAATCACCAATAATTCCATTCCATCATGAAAAGTCAAGGACATCAGTGATCTCCAGGTGAAGCCAAGCTTCCAGGACACACATCAGTCAAGTCTTGCTCAGTCTGGGTCATTCAACCAAGAGAAGTGACCTCTAGATGTAGACTTTGTATCAGCTTGGTTCACACCCTAGGTTATCACTGCTGATTGTCAAATAAGTGTGAGCAAATATGGAGATGAAAATGCCCTAGGTAGGCCCAAACGTGGCCACATCTTTGTCACATAATGTCCTTAAAATGAGGGGAGGAGGGGAGAAAATTATTCTCTACTTCCATTTCTCCTTTACATAAACATTAAAGTTTACATATAACTTCACCTACAACCATATACTTACTTTTAAACTCTGGTATGTAATTATGTCAATTAAGTAGATATTAATCCAACTAATGCAAGGTATTTTTCCCCTCAAAGATTTCTCATTCTGGAAGTGCCCTTTGGAAACAAAACTGAGAAGGTTTTTTAAGACCCTCTTTCCCCTGGGGCTAAACTAGACTGGGCAGTATGTCGGGGTCAGAGCTTGCCCCTTCCCTTGAGGTACTCCCAATTCCTTCAAGACTTATTCTTGTACTGGGAGCTCTCTCTGTATCTTTATCATGTAGAGGCTTTTACTTATTTGCTTATTTACTTCCCTTTCCACATGTATGTTACTGCCTGACCTACGCAGTCATCACACCTTTCAAGCATGTTGAAGAATGCAAACAGTAAGTCAGAGAAGTGGTTGGAATAAGCACCACTGAGTACTACTGTTTGAAAATTCTCTCTAAAAAGCTGTCAAGTTTGCCATATACAGAACCCCCAAGAATGCCTTGCCAGTAAAGGAAAAAGTCCTCAATGGTTTGCCTCAAACTAGAAGGCATGGTATCCAGGTGAGAACGAGGAAATTCACATCTATATTCTGAATGCAAAGTTGCTGAAATTACAGGAGTGATGGCTTTCATGAATCTAGCACTTTCTAGGTCAGTTACCCTGCTAAGAACCTTACTTCCTTCTCCCACTCAACTATACTCTAGTTTCTGGGGGTTTTTTTGGGGGGGTGGGGGGTTGATGTTGTTTTTCAATTTTTTTGGTTGGCTGGCTGGTTGTTTTTTGGTGCTAGGGATTGGATTGAACCCATGGCTCACACATGCTAAGCACTCACTCTACCACTAAGCTACACCCCCAGCCCTTCACTCTTTTTTTAATGGGATTCTCCATTATAATCACTGCTTATCTTGGACAATACATGTTCTCTTATACCTAGCAGATGCACTCTGTACATATCTGTTAAGGAAATGAATGGCTGGATAGAGAAAATGAATAAACTCTATTCTTGACCAAATTTTCAGTCTTTCTGATGGCAGCCCTAAAACTTGGCCATTCGTATTTCTCAAGGAATGTGTCATTTAATCGGTATCTTGGTTCCTGACGGGCATTAGTAAGTAGCTTTTATATCAAGGTCCTATTTTTAGACATCCTCTTTCCACAAGTAGAAAAGACATAAACCAAGATCATCTCCTTAGTTTATTTTTTTTCTAGAGTCCTTAGCATGCTACATTAACCTGACAGCTTAATCTTGTGTTCATTTCACAATACATTTCATGCAGTTCACAGCTGTGATTGGTTTTACATTGACATTACACATGTTTCGATTCAGCCATGTGAAAAGAATAACTCTGAATGGAGTTTGTCTCTGAAAACTGTCCAAGCTTACGCAGCATCTGAGCAGTTCGCTATTCTGAAGTGCAGTCTCTCTTTAAAATGCAAGACGGAACTTTTTAGAGTAAGAATACAATGTCCCTGTTTAGAGTTCATCAGCAACCAAACCACTTCCTTTCGGTTTCACATATCCTGAGGAATCCTCTCTTTACAAAACTGCATTCAAGTATATTATTTGATTTAACATTCCAGGTTGAGTTTAGGGGCAAGGCTGACCTTCAGCTTTCCCTTCCCAGCTAACTCTCCAGGGACCCCGCCTTCCCAAGACTATTCATAGCATGAGACTCTCTATACAATAAGCAATCAGCACGAAAGCCACAGAGTAGAGCTATTTGGCATTTTCCAGTGAAGTGCAAGAAATTAAATAAGTTATGTTTTTATTGCTAATGTATAGAACATCAAGCACAGTCACTTTGTCAAATAGAAGGAAAGAGTATACAGTAGAAGTGGCCTGTCCTGGGGTGTTCCCAGGGTTCAAATGCCCAGAAAGTGTCACCTAGTCACGGCCCATCCAGTATCACTTTAAGATGATGTGTTGAGTATTCGAGAGTCCGAGGAGTCAGACCTCTCATCATAGTCATCCTCAGTGTAAATGGACTGCTTTGTCACAATGGGACACCCATCCTCAGGGATGGAGATCCGAGGGTCTTCCGTGGTGCGGGTGGGGAGGACAGGCGAGCTCCTGAAGACACTGGTGGAGTTACTGGGGAAGGGACTGACATACTGTGACCTCAGCTGGTACTGCTGCTGCAGGGTCATGGTGTTCCACAAGGTGACATCGTTGGGCAAAAAGGGGCTTGACTGGTTTCTCGCCAAAGTATTCCTCAGCATCAGCGGGTACCGGGGTGGCTGGGGGAAAGGGTGCTGCAGAGGGACGGCCAGGGGACTGGGGACAACATTACTAGAGTCGGCAGAGAACCGCAAGGTGTCTGGGACTCGGAAGGCTGAGCCCACGGACCACTTGGATGAGGAAATGGGGTAGGAGCTCAAGGTGTGTTCAAAGATGTGCCCGTTGGAGGGGAGCACGAGGCTCTCTGCTTCTGCAGAAGTTCGCTCAGCTGTGCTCACCGATGACCGGCTGGACAGAAGGACTTCCACGGCACTCACCAGGTCGCCCCCACAGCCCTTCAGGATGAGCTCAAGCACCGTGGGCTTCTGGTTGGGGAAGATTTTCTTCAGCACTTCCAGGGGCGGTCTGTTAGCTTTCAAACTGAAGGGAAGAGAAACTGTCCCCGACGGGCCCTCGATCAGGAGGTGGTTCTGCTCTGTGTGGAACTTGGGGCTGTCAGGACGGCTCTCCGGGTTGCCTCCATTTTTCTGGATCGCATACCCCCCTTCATCCACAGACACTACCTCAGGGCTCTCAGGAGTGAAGCAGCTCTTACTTTTGCCCACATCCGGGGAGCTCCTCTGGTCAGCATCTTTGTCACTGAAAGCCTCTGCATTGTCTGCTGAACTGACATCCCCAAGTCGTTCTTCAGTCAAATCTGAAAGGCAGAGAACAGCTGGGTTAATCCTTTCCTGGTGTGCATAACAAGAAACAGATGTGCTCACAAGACTTCTTGGAAGAGGAAATGCAGCCAGTGGGTTATAACATACTGTCAGCCTTAACAAAAAGAACTCCAAACTATGTCATTGGCAAATGGGAAGAAACAGAAACCAAAAAAAGGATAAATGAAGATCTAGAATGTTGTGTGCATGAATGCAGAATGGCTACACAATCCTATAACCACAAAAGACCTGGCTTTCATAGCAGTAACAGTCACACAGGGCCTATATGAGGCTGGGGTCTCATAGGGGAGTACAGCCAGGGAAAACCAGGGAAATGAGCTCTGGCTTGTTTTCCAGCAATTCTGCAACGAGGTACACCACCATCAGGGGTGCACAGCCCTCATACCCACAGGACATGTTAATATTTTAAATCTGCTCACCGATTTTGTGTGAAGTACATCTTGTAAACCAGACAATGTGTTTCATCAGGTGACCATGTATAGCAGCTAGCTGAGATAATTTTCAGAGAGAAAGAAAGACACCTCCATAGGTTGAAATCTTATGTAAAAAGTCACCCAAGGGCCTAGCAAACTCAGTGCCTGTGACTTGCACTAGAGGGCAAACAAAACCAGCTGTGAATTCTGGACAGCAGGACAGGTTGCTGGAGAAGAGAAAGAAAATGGCCAGAAAAGGTTTGTGAAACTGCACAGGGAGTCTTGTCCATCAATGAAACATGTCAGCAGCTCAGGACCATGGGTAGCAAGAGGTGGATATGTTTGTGTGAACTGTAGAATTTTTCAGAAAGACCTCAAGAGAGCTTTTCAAATTATAGTAAAAAGAGGAAGACAAAAGCTTCCCAAATAAAGCTGAGACTTGCTATGAAACAAACCAGTTGCAAATTTGACATTGACCTAAGACATTATCCCCAAAAAATTAGTATCACTAACCCTCAGTCATTAGTACTAAGCAGGCAGAAAGAAGTAGGTAAGAGTGGTTTGCAGTTGTAAATTCCAACAGACCTTTATAATAAAGGAACTTTTTTTTACAAGAAAGCTATAAGTAAATAGATTTTTATCTTAAAAAAAATGTACTAGTTGTGTCTGCTCAGTCCAGAGTAAATGATCTGAAAACGAAAACTCTTAATGATGTAGTTGTCAGATTGTCAGCAATCGCAGGCCTGTGTTTTCTACTGCCCTACCTGAATAGCCTCATTGTGGCCCTCTCTGTGAGCACACCTGATTAGGTACAGATAGCCAGCGGTGAAATTTCATCAAAGTAGCTTCTAGAAACCATCTCCTCCTGCTTGTTGTTGTTTACTTTAAAAGCCTTCAACAAAGGCCCATTTATGAACGTTCTTCCAATACAGTGTGTATCTTAAGTATAACTGAAAAACCAAACCTCAGCTCTTCACAAAGCAAAGCAGTGTTGCCAAACATAAGTAAATATGTTTTTAAATACTCTTAAATTAGATCAGAGCAACTATCAATCATAAATCTGATATAAATTATACTTATTCCAAGTTTGCACTTTAATTAAACTGCTTCATTTTTCAATACAAAATATAAGTTTCCAATGTGTGGTCATAGCATCCAGAAGATGAAGCCATCTTTGCTTTCTTTAAAGTACACAAAAGACCTATTTTTATAAGAAAATTTGACATACTCTCTCCTACAACTTCGTAGGACAGGGAACCCAGCTTTTGCATTCTAGGTATTGTGGTATTTGAACTCCATGTCAAATACTCCTTGAACCAATAACAGCAACAAAAAAACTTGTACAGATTCACATCCTAATCAGACCTATTTAGGGTTCCCTGACTCCCGGCCCCATATGTACCTCTCGGCTGCTACTCTGTTCTTAACTGCTTGAAAATGTTAGCCAGACAGTATGTTAACTCAGCGCTGGAATAGTCACACCATAACCCTCGTTCAGTGAAGCTTGGGAACACAAATCAAATACTCTCCCCATGTAAATATGGACATAAAATGTTTTAACCACTACCACCTCTAAATGCTTTTCTCATTTAAATTTAGCTACTATTACCTATTACCAGCATCAAGTATTTATATGCTGTAGTATTCAACACACCAAGAGAAACAGAATAAAGGGCAGAAAATGTCAGGAAGAGTAAGACCCAGCCCTAAGGTGTGGGACTTGTTATCTTCTTGGTGAAATAAGATGTACATGGGCAGGTGTGGGTGTGGGTGGGGAGCAGGCCGAGGCATCCAGGCAGGATTTGCTAAGCTTCATATATGATGAGTCTTGTACATCAGTGTTCTAGCAGTGCTATTCAGAATAGCCTGAAGGTGGAAAACCCAAATGTCCTTTAATTAATAAATGGATAAATAACATGTTTCATATACATACAATGAGTATTACTCAGCCTCAAAAGCAATGACATTCTGATAAATGCTGCAACATGAATGAACCTTGAAAACATAACGCTAACTGAAATAAGCTAGATGCAAAAACAAACCATCAAAACCAGTTATATGAGAAACCTAGAACTGACAAATTCATAAGACAGAAAGCTTATGAATCTGTGGAGGGCAGAAAAGGAATGGGGAATTATTGTTTAATGGATATGAAGTTTCAGTTGGCAGATGGAAACCTTCTGGAAATGGAGTGGTGATGTTTGTACATTGTCATTGTCCTTAATATCACCTAATTATACACTAAAATGGTAAATTTATGTATATTTTACTATAATATAGAAGAAAAATATGATACACAGTGCCAAAACAATGTAGGAGACATGAAGAATTTTTTAGCAAGAGGAATGACTAACCCTTGGGAATAAAGGGTACGTCAGAATAGATAGACGGCTCAAAACTTAGTTTTTTTTAAAAGAAATGTGTGAACCTAAAAATAACTTCATGTTTTAAAAGGTAAATTTTGGAACTGGACGCATGTCTCAAGTGCTAGAGTGCCTACTTTGCAAGTGCAAAGCCCTGAGTTCAAATCCCAGTCGCACCAAAAAGGAAAAAAAAAAAAGAAAGAAAGAAAAGAAATTTTAAAAGGTAAATTTTATTCAAACACTGAAATTATTTCAGGAAAACTTTTTGAGCTCTATTAACCAAATTTACTCTTCTACAGCACACTTGGGGCTCCAGAAGAAAATTATTCAAAGGGCAGAAGGTTAGTGAAGGAGAATTAGGGAACAATGTTCTGATTAACGTATCTACATTATAAAAATGCAGTATTTTTTCAGCGTGACAAAAGATATATTTGTCCCAATCCACTGCACACTGAATGGCAGAATTCTAAGTCTGACAGCATGAAATTCCACTTTGGTACCTAATTTCCTATGTTCTGCAGAACACCTATCAGTGGAAATTTAAATGGCTGCCATCTTGTTTAGCAACTGTGAGGCCCCAGACAGCAAAGCCACATTCCCATCTGGTGTGCTACCCTTTGTCCCTGTACTCAGACAGGCCAGTGTACCCTGCACTGTGGTTACTCCTTAAGGCTGGTGATGGAGTGTGCTGACTCATCCACACTCTCTCTGCAGGCTTCTGGGCTGCTCAGCCTCTCCACCTGGATGTCCAGGCTAGGGCCAAATAGAAATGCTCACAGGATGTCACAGAAATCAAATATACAAATTCAGGGCATTCCAACCAACCGAGCTCAGTACTGTGTTCAAAGAAGAAACAGAAGCCTGTGAAAGAAGCAAGGTTTATGCACCTGGGCAGCACAGAAAGTCCTTCTAAGATGTGTGTGGTGAACAGAATCCCCACAACATCCAAGACTGCTGGGGGTTCAAATGTGAGCAAAGCAAGGAAGACTGGCCTCTGAATTTACACCAAGACCAACTCTTGACCCAAAAGTAATTTCTGAAGAGCAGACGTACACTTCCTGCAATTGTGCGGTACTATGATATCTAGCGCGGGTTGTGTTGTTATCCCTAAACTAGATGCATTGTAAATTATTCTGTTATAAATGCAGACTGTCATAAGTAATTACAGAGGGTGAGTTTTAAGATCCGTGCTAAAGTGTAATTTAATGACAGGTGTTTCTTTACATCTCTAGATTTTTCTTAAATGAACTTTACAGATCATTCATGTTGGTTTAAAACACAAAGGCCTTTCTAGATATAGAAATATGAAACTGCCAACTAACAAAACGAAACAGGAAATATTCCCGAAATACTTTATCCCCTTTCTTCTTGAAACTGAGACTCTAATTCCTAGAACATAAGGAACAAGAGTGTATTTCAACTGATAATATTTTTAACTCTATATGGGTATAGAAAGTCAAAACTACTAATCAAAAAGCAGAAAGAAATCATTTTTATTTGATATTACCAACCAGCAATTGAATGTGCTGTTTCTAATGTAAAATGTCTAACTAGTTTAAAATATTACTAAATATTCATGCTTCAGTTTCATATTCATGAAGCAGAAATACCTATAACTATTTCTGAAATAAACCTCCCACAAGGGTAAAGGTTTTTTTTTTTTAAAGAAATAGATGTTTGATTATCGAGGAAATTTTTTCCATGAATAACAATGCTACCAATTCCAAAAAATACTTGCCATAAGTCTTTTTATCCTGAAGAACTTTTAACTAAAGGGAAAAAATGAACAGAACATACAGAAAAATGAAGTAAGAGTTTTTGAAATCTTTCTCTGGATTTTTTTTCATATGAAAATGCAGCTTAGTTTAAAAAAAATCTACATTCATTTCAAATATTTTGAGAAAGTCTACCACATATGTGAAACTCCAAACACATAAAAATGGAAAAATCTTTCTGACTAAGATGTCATGGGTTTTATAAATTCTGCCCAATTATATCTACAAAACCAAAATATAGCTAACATCCACCATGAAAACATAAGAACTCTGGCAGAGAAGAAATTCTTGGCTCAGAAATCACGGGACATGCCCCCCCCCACCACCACCCAGTCCTTTCAAAATCATGGCATGCATTTTGAAACGCAGATTGTCATGTCCTCCTCTGTTCACTTGAGCTTTGGGGAACACACCTCTCAGCAAG